ACTGATGGTTACACAGCTAATTTTCAATTTTGTAAAATGCATGCAATCTGTGCTCCTCCAAATTGTGCATTTTTCTGCTGTGTGATATATTTCAACAAAAACTTAAAAATTAATAAGGATGAACTGGGGGTGGGGGGGAGAAAAGTGCAACAATGAATGAATGGAAATCCAAAATGTCTGTAAATGTTCATTGAAATTAATAATAATAATAATAATAATAATAATAATAATAATAATAATAATAATAATATAATAAGGATGATAAATGTTACCAAACCCTGATACTAGCCTGTATCTCTGTTTGCAGGGCAGTTTGCTCTGTGCGTGTGCCCAACGAAGAAAATGCCTGTTTTCTTTTCTGCTAGAGTTGATTTGAGGAGGGGTGTGTGTGAGAGAGAAAAGACAGAGACCTGAGGAGTGCTGCTTCCCCAGTTGCCATTTCTTTAAAGACAATCCCATCGCAGGTCTTCAGAGGAAAGTATAAGTTAATTACCTGCATGATTTAGATCATTACCACTATAGATATTAAGAGAATAATTTGCCACACAAGTTGACCTCTTATTAGTGAGGGCTCTTTGAGAATCCTAGTTTGTTTTCTGGTCTTTTAACTTCTCAAAAGAGTAAGAACTTTTGAGAGGAAAGGAAATTACACCCTAGAATTATTGCCCATTTGTTTGAAAGATACTGAAAAGGCCCGAAATCTTTTTCTTTGGAATAAGGACAAATGTCCTTTTAAAAAAAAAAAAGTCCTGGTTCATCAGAGAAAACCTCTGGAGAATTAGCAAGAAGCCTTGTCTTGCAAATTTGTTAAGAGGAGAATGCTAATTATTGCTAAGAATCTTTTCTGAATCATTCCTTTGTGCAGTTTATGTACATGATGAGTAAAAAGCTTTACTTGCTCTGAAAGGCTGGTCTTCAGTGTTAACGAGGTCAGATTGCATTGGGAATTCAGACTTTCAGGTGGTCTGCAAAATGTTCTTTTCCAGCTGCGAAGCTAAGTAGGCCCCTGTTGGGCATCTTTAACCCTGGAGGCCTAGTCGTAAGGAGTTACACTCCCAGCCTAAAGGCAGGCAACTCTGGTCCACCAGCTGCTTCTTGGCAGAAAGAAGGACAATCTCCTTCTGCGTGATTTACAGTGTCTGAAAAGCCACCAGAGGGTCAGCTTGACAGTACTCGACATTAACAATGATGAGCGCTCATGTCAGACAGCTGTGTCCTTTTAGATATTGTGGCCAGGCTTTTTGGGGTGTGTCCAGTCTAGAGATGAACTATAGTACTTAAATTCATGGCTTTTGAACCTAACAAACTTGGGAGCTCTGGTGAAGGGAATTCTCAGTGAATGAAGCCGTCCACAGGGAGATGTAGCATTGGCCCAAAGGCCTCGTCTCTCTGACAGCTCTAATTCACCAGGAGCCCCAAGGGAGAAAGATGGACAGTCTCTTCCCATGTGATTTACGGCCTCAGACTCCTAGTGAAGGGTCAGCTATTATTTGGTCCCAACTAGGTGACAATCATTTGTAAGTGTTGTTGTGACATGCTATTGAGGCCCCTGTGACCCATAGTTACCTTTGTGCAGCAGCTCTGAACTCTGTGAAAGTAGAATTGCTCTGTGGGATCCTCAAGTCTGAGACTTTTAAAAAGTAGAGTGGCATGCATATTTTTGATGGTACCTCCTCTGGATGGGTTTGAACCTTCAACCTTTTGATATTACCACCCAACGATTTTAGAACTGTTCGTAAAATTATGTAAGATAATGTAGAAGGATCTGAAACTTGACCCGACATATAATAAATGCTCAGTGAATGGAACTGTAATTAGTACACGGTGAAAGGAAATAAATTCTTTTGATTCCGTTTTGACTGCCTCCAGTATCTGTCTGCTAATGTGTGAATGAGACTTTCATGTGTACATGAATGAGTGATAAGATGTTTGGGGGCATTTTCTCCTTAAAAATTATGGAGATGAAAATGCTCTTAGTGGTTGATAGGAATCCTTAAGGCGGTGAGAAGGGGCCTGCGAGACTATATAGCAAGAGACACCAGGAAGGAGGGCCATGTAGTATCCACTCTTGCTTGTGGTGCTGGTCCCACAGATCTGTGCATGTGACAATGTGGCACCGACCCACCAGTCACACTGTTGTTTTGTGCCAGGGGGCCACCTCTGAGTCCTGGCTCGCCTCTGTGTAACAGTAAAGTGATGCCCATTCCTGAGCCATGGTCATGTTTGTGGCCGTGTGTGAGCCCTTGCCCCAGCTATTGTGCCAGTCCAGCTCATTAAGGACTCTCGGTCACTTTGCCCCTCCTTGTCACTCACTGACCCTCTTCCAGCCATGATGCCCATGTCTAGTGATTAGTCTCTTCTAAAGATGGATCCAAAGCCATTGAGACAAGAGTCTCAAGAAGCAAGAAGCATTCTGTATAATTCTGAATGTTTTTTTAAAATTAATTTAAATGAAAGTTTACAGAGACTTAGGATTTCCATTCATTGTTGCACTTTTCTCCCTCCTCCCCCCACCCCAATTCACTCTTCTCCTTGAAAAGAAAGAAAAACTCTTTCATTATTATGCAACCCCTTTCCCCCAAGTCCACTCCACTGTGCAGCCTTCACTCTGGATTTCTGTAATGACAAGAATACACAGTCATTTGTCCCTTTAAAACAGATCTTTCCCATCTATTTCAATGCAGTATATATCATTCCTCCCCTCCTTTTCTGTCTTCCCTCAACCCTGATGACAGTCCCGTTTTACAACAGTGATCCTATGCAATATTTGTCCTTTTGTGACTGATATATTTCACTCAGCATTCAACTACACAATCAATCTCTCTTTCTCTCTCTCTCTCTCTCTCTCTTTTCTTTAACAGAAGTTTCCAAGCTGGAGACTCAACTACACAAACTTTTCTAAGCATTCACTCTTTTTTTCCTTCTTGTGAAGCTTTCACAGGCACATCATGTGATGGAAAAACAATGAGGCTCAGCTCGGGGCACCTTAGTCAGTAAATGACATCATTATTGCATCACTTTCATGAGTTTGATATTGTATTCCTTTTTTTTTGTTAGAAAAAAGTATAATGCTTTGATATTACACTGGTTTTTTAAAAACCAGCAAAACTTACTCCTATCAAGTCATTTCTGACTCAGAGCGACCCTAGAGGACAAAGACCCTCTCCTTTGCCTTTAGAGGCTCTGGTTCTCTCTGGGAGCAGACTACTTATTGTCCGCAAGTAGCTAGCAAATTCAAACTGCTGATCTTCCAGTTAGCAACTCTCTGTAGTTACACAAAATAGAACCACTTGCTAGGAACAGAGTCCAGTGACCTCTTTGGATTATTTTTGCTGCTCTCTGTGAGTCTATAATTAGTTCAGAATAAATTTAAAACAAAGAAGTATCTGTCTCGGATTCCCTCCTGCTACCGTGACGTAATTATGTAGGACTCGCCTCTGGTGATACTATAGGAGGTAGGGCGTAAGCTTTGGTCTTTAACTTTAAATACAGCACTCTTAATTCATCTCTCTTAGCAGCACCACCCCTTCGGAGTCCAATTCACTCCTCACCAACATGGGGCCAAGAATTAAATGGTGGTTAAATGGGCCACGGGCAGGGTTCCTAAAGAAGGCAGAATGCAGTCTTCTTTGATGCTAAAATATTCGCAGTTGATTAACACGGAGCAGTTAGATTGAGCCTGTGGCTGGATATTCCAGTTTAGTTCCTGCCAGCTTGGATGTGAGTGTGTTATTAAAACCCTCTGTGGACTGAGAGGTGGAACCAATTAGTGTCAACGCATGCTTTGGAAGTCTTGATCTGATACCACTAACAAGCCAATCGCTGAATTAATGGGAACGCAGACATCTTTCATTGCGATGATTTCGTGGTTTCACTTTTGGCGTTTTAAGGTGGACTTGTGAAGAATGTCATCAGCTGTATCTCTATACTAAACTAGAGTCCACAGCAAATCTTCTCGCCCAGGGCAACTAGATACCCCCAGCCCATGGTGCCATTCATCATCTGCCATCAGGACCACTTCTTTCAGCTGCTTGGAACTGGTCTTTGTGCCCCACATTTCCTCCTACCCTCTGTTTTCCATGTGGTAAAAACCCAAATTAGATCACCTCACAGTCAAACCACTCCAGTGGTCGCCACAATCATTCATCATGGTAAAATCCAGACCCTTCCACGTGGCCGTCACACCCTCGTCCTGGCCCTGCCACCTCTCTGCCTTTGCCCTTTAGACCCCTGTCCCCTTTAGACAGCCACAAGCCAGTCACACAAACTCTCTCACTCATTGTCAGACCCTTCAGGCTTTCTCCTGCCTGAAGGTGTTCTGTGTAGCCCCGGTGGCTCAGTGATTGTTTACTGCTAACTATAAAGTTAACAGTTCAAACCTACCCAGTGACTCTGTGGGAGAAAGACATGGGAATCAGCTTCTAGAAGATCCCAGCTTGGAAAACCTGATGGTTACGTGGGGTCACTGTAAGATGAAACTGGCCCAGTGACACCTGGCAACAGCAACAACAAGGCTTTTCCACGCCATTCCGACTGAGGTGTCTTCCAAGAGCTGCTGTGACTCAGCCCTTCACCTCCTTCTGCACTCGATTGAGAGGTCACGTAGCCTTGTGAGGTCCACCTGACTGTGTCGCCCACTCCCATATCACTCCCTCCCACTCAGTCGCATGCTTGCTTCACTTTCTTTCCAGAATCATAACCCTCTGAAATGATATCCGCCTTTGTTGATTTACTTGCTTATTTCCTTCACACTAAACTCTGTGGTATCAGGAACAGCTACTTTTACAGTGTTAGCCCCCATGACTAGACCAATCTCTGGTGCCTCAGGAGCCCTCAATGCATATTTGCGGGTAACTGACTGAATGAGACCATGAAGCCGACCCATGCAAAACTGATAAAGTTTGCACAGAAAAACAGAGACGTCTTCTATCTTCGTGACCCAGGTCTGTAACATTGACCTGCCTGGGGACTTCCTAATCCTTCTCTCTTTCTTTCTCTAGGCAGCTTGAAATCCACTCCCCAGATGCTAAGCACACGGTCATCCTAAGAAGCAAAGATTCAGCCACCGCCCAGGCCTGGTTCAGTGCCATCCATTCCAATGTTAGTGACCTGCTGACCCGAGTGATTGCCGAGGTCAGGCAGCAGCTGGGGAAGGCCGGCATTGCCGGGAGCCGGGAGCTCAGGCATCTGGGCTGGCTTGCAGAAAAGGTAAGGAGTGGCCCTCCCTCAAAGTCATTTTGCAGCAGGAGTCTGTCTCCACGCTGCTTAAGACACCTCTCGTCATTTGCCTCATTCCATAGACTGATTCTCTCATTCAAGTTGTTTGGATTTCCCTTCCATTTCCAACAGGCCACAGGCCTCTGCATTTTACAGGAATTGAGTGTTTATCAACTTTGAATCCCCACATACAGCACAGGTGATGCAGAGGGTGGGCACTCAGTGATTGTTTAGTGGCTGGGGGGTGTGAGTGATGGATGGAGAGGGTGAACATCACGTCTGTTTATGAAAGAGAAACACAACTAAGGCGTTGCCAAGGTTATTTTGTTCCTTTTAAAGAGGGCTGATGTGAGGTTTGATGAACACGGATACAGACACACCTCATTTTATTGCGCCCCGCAGTAGGGGTGTTTTTGGCAAATTGAACTTTGTGGCTACCCTGCCCTGAGTAGGTCTGTCAGCACCTTTCTTTTCTAACAAACAGCACATGCTCAGTTCCCGTCTCTTGTTACATTTTGTAATTTTCTCAGTCTTTCAATGTTTTTGTCCTTCAGTTGTACACTGCCATTGCCATAGAATCGTTCCCAGTGTGTAACAACCTGCTCTCAGGTTTCCGAAGCTGTAAATCACAACAGGGAGGGACTGCACATCTTTCACTTGGGGAGCGGCCTGTGGATTTGAACCGCTGAGATGCTCCACCATTGGGTAAGCAGTTCAGCTCTCTACAGATGACGCCACCAGAACTCCCCGATGGACTGCGAGACAGTATAAACATGGCTCTCACAGACACTGAGAAGCCACAGAATGTGTGTGTGACTTTGGTGCAGAACTTGCTTTAACGTGGCAGTGTCAGGTGGAGCTCACACTGTGAGCCGTGCCTCTGCTGGAGGAATGTTATGGATGAGCCTCTGGTTTGTGCTAAGGAATTATCAATAGTTCTTGAGCAGCAGATCCTGAAAGCCACCACTTTGGGGCGTCCACTTGGAGGGAGACACAGGGCGAGGCAGGAAGAGACCATAAAGATGAATAAAGACCTGATCCCTGTCCCCTGGGAGGAGAGCTGCCCTGAGTCACATTAATAACCCTGTCATGCCGATTTCTTTCCCCAAGTTACATGATACCTTGAAGATCATAAAACTCTCTATGTACTATGTAGACCATCTCCTAGGAGTTAATCCTACTCTTCTTTTCAAAGGATTGAACCTTTGCCATTGTCTTTACAGCTGCTGGCTGTTCCTTGAACTTGACCTTGCATGCTGAGCCACACAGGGCTTTGAGGACAGTCTGACCTCCTGGTGACTCCTGTTCTAATAGGTGGTAAATGGGAATAATGAACTCTGCAATAATAACTTTCTTGCCAGTGAACCCTGTCATCTGAGAAGGCCCAGTTAAATGGCACTTGAAAATAATACTTGAATTCAGCAGTTTTCCACCATTGTTCTTTGTTTGCACCAGTTCACTCGTGGGTCTCTGCCACAAAGTTCATCACAAAATGGGTTGTTTGGCTTGGTACTGTCCCATTGCTTTCAGATTTCAAAGGACTAAAGGGACAGAGTGGGTGGTGGCAGAGCCAAAGTCGTAATAGAAACAAACACAGCTTGCCTGTCTTGACCTTCTGTGCCCAGGTTGGTGATTAAAACAACACTGAATCTAGATGACTGATATCATTTTGGAACTTGCAGTCTCTTCCACTCTCTATTTTGTACTCTCTGCAAATACGGGTGTTTTATCAGGAGAAGGTCTATTAAGAATCTTTGAGCTCTAAGTGACACAAAGGTCAAGCTTAGCTTGAGCAAAAAGGACGGTGGACCGTTAAAAATAGTGAATGTGTCTCGACTTGCAGCATGACAGTAGCCAAGCCTGTAAGGTAAACAGTCATACCTGGGAGGTACGAACTCATGACAGCCCTGATTCCAAGAGATCAAAAGGGTGGCAGTTATCCAGAGATAAAGCTCATGTTCACGAAGCAACCAAACTAAGGATGAGTGGAAACAGTAAACATAGGGCGGACGAAGAGTTCTGTCATCCTCTGAGGACTGCAGTCAGCCTCACAAAGCACATGGTGTATTAGTTGTTGGAGGAAGAATCTCGTTTTCTCTGTGAGTTTTCATTCAAGTCAAAGTAAAAAGTGAAATAAATTAAATTTCCAAGAATAAGCTTCAAGCATGGCTGGATCCAGGGATTCCAGGAGCATTCCTAGTTCTTACTCTTCATGGGTTTTATTTCCAGCCAGACCCTCTCCTTTTGGCCTCAGAGTTTTAAACATAAACTGTCATCTTTTCTCAGGCTATCTCAGTGACTAGATACTTCTTTTGCCTTAAGAATCTCAACAGAAGTCTTGATGTTACGTTCAAATGGATCATAGTTCCAGTGCTGGATTGGGGTTTGGCTGAGTCTTGGTCAGGGTATGAGCCCTATGGGATGAGGAAAGGTGACATAAGGTGCTGTGATAGAAGGGATGAATGTTAGGGGAGCAAATATGACATTACTGTGTAAGGGGGAGTCGACTAGGATGAAAAATATCTCGAGTTGGAGAAGGTTCTAAAGGACCAGCGCTCAGTGGGTGGCACACAGGAAAGGGTTGCATGGAAACTTGTAAATGCAGGGATACTTTTTAAGATGTGGCCAAAACTGAGACAGTGAAGCACACCAAGACTGATAACAAAAATCCACCGCCACTGCTTGGCATGAGAAGGCAAAGGAAAGGAACGGATATCCGGAATGGACATGATTTACAGCTGTGGAAAACCCCAGCCAGCCAATTGCCAGTGGCACGATTCCAGCTCTCGGTGAGCTCAGCCATGGCGGACGGAACTGCACTGGGCAGGGTTTTCATCGCCGTGACCTTTCAGAATCGAACTGCTGGGTCTTTCTTCTGAGGAGTCTCTGGGTTGGTGTGAACTCCCAAGCCCTTCCCGGCTGGCCAGGCACTGAACCATTTGTACAACCCAGGGCCTCCACAACTGCAGAAAAAGGTAATTCCGAAAAAACTGTGGTCTCTGGAGTCCTTGCCTTTCTGTTGGTGTCTCCATTGGCTAGCAGCCTGGAGGAGGAGTGCTAGGGAAGCCATGAGTCGGGAACCACTCTGTTAAGGTCACTGTCCCAGGCACAGGGCAGGTGGAAGAGTAGATTGGCAATGGAGGGACAAAGTAATGCCACCTGGCACTCAACTCTTCTTTCGTCTTATTAAGCACCTGCCATACTTGAAATTTTTGCTCTTTAGATAAATGGGGGGGAAAGGATCACATTGTTATTTTTATGTACCATCTAGTCAAAACCAACTCATAGCTGGCCCTTCATTGGGTTTTTAGAAGCAGGTAATTGCATGGAAATTGATTGTCCATCTTGCTTCCACAAAGCAGCTGGTGGATCCAAACCATGTACCTTTGAGTTAGCAGTGCAGCTCCTTACCACTAAGCCATCAGAGCTCCTTGCATATAGGTTATACAAGTTTGTCCTTAAGGGTCATGATGACTTATAATGAACAATTATTGGAAGCAGTAATGTCTTTTACCACCTTTATGTTCAAAACTTCTAAAAGATTATTATAGATCACATTCAAGAGAATAAATCCAAATGGTAATTTTTTAAAAAAGAAACATTAATACTGCAAACTAGTATGAATATATATGAATGGTTTTGGCAAAATGTTACAATGAGTGGCAAAGCCTTAATACAACACCTTTCTTATAATATCACAAATATCAGTGAATTCACTTGGTATTTGTAAAGATAGAAAGTGTGGTCTCAAATACATTCAGCAATGATTTACCTTAACTTGATGCGTGTTGTCTTTTCCTATATTATTAAGCTTTGGGTTTGTGGATTACTAACAATAGCTCTGGAAAAAGAGTGTGCAGATTCCATTTCATTTCACCTTTTTTGAGAACCAGCATTCAGATGAACTAATACAATATGAAACAGCTTCTCTTTAAAAATCCTGCTCTGAGAAAATCCTCAAAAGTCTCGTAAGCACTATTCAGGAAGAAAATCTAATATTAAAAAAAATATTATTCCCTGTGAAATAGCCTGAAGAGGCTTGGGGAGGAAGACTGGACTTGAACAGTAACTCCCAGAAATATAAGAAGGTGTTGAGTCCCTGGGTGATGCAAATGGCTAGTGCATTCAACTGCTAACCAAAAGGTGGGAGGTTCGAATCCACACAGCAGCAGCACGTTGGAAGAAAGGCCTGACTCCCTTCCAGAAAAGCCTCTACACTGGCACACGTGGGGTCACCATGAGTCAGAAGCAGCGTGGCAGTGAGTTGTCAATAATCATTCATTTTTAGGTTTGATTTTTCCTTTTCCTTTTTCTACCTATTTGTAACAAAGGTAATGTTGATTTTTAATGTTTTGACAAATTACAGGTCATAGAACAAGCCTAGTTGTTTTTTTTTCAGCAATGGTTTAGGTCATTATGAATGGTTTCATCTTACTTGGTTATTTTTAGGGACCAATACTACTGTGCAAAGAGAGGATACTGTATCTGCTCAGATACAGATGTGTGTGCGTGTGTATATACAATCTTACACATGTAATATGTTAAAATGTGTAATTCTGTGAAAAAATATATATGTATGTGTATTTATATATGTATGTGTATGTGAACGTGTATGTATGCATACATACACACTGCTATGAGTTGTAGTCAACTCTATGACACCTAACAGAAACAATAATGCATATTGACAGACTTTGGGCATGTGGCAAGGAGGAGCCAGTCCTTAGAAGGGGACATAATGCTTATAAAGGTGGAAGGTCAGTGAAGGAGAAGACCTCAGAGAGGTGGATCCGCAGGCCATGGGCTTACGCAGAGGAGAGGTTGTGAGCATGGATCAGAATGTGGCAGAGTTTCAGAATGCCTCACTCTGACTCATCTGTTGAGTTTGAGTTGACTTCTCAGCTCCTAACAACAACAGTAACTGTATATTCTGTATTCTCACATAATACTCTAGAACATGAATTTTAATTTCTAATAATATCAATTTGTTC